ATGTGTGTGTGTGTGTGTGTGTGTGTGTGTGTGTGTGTGTGCGCGCGCGCGCGCGCGTGCATTTATCAAATTGTCTTCATGGGACAAATGAATAATTATGCCAGATGTTCACTGCAACTCTCAAACACCTGCAGTCCTGATGTTTATTTCTTCTGCTCTGAGTTTGACTTTGTGTCTGTCTGCATACCTGTGTGACTCATCGGAGCTAATTTTTCACCTCGAAGCCCCTCTCTTCTCCCCTCCTCTCCACTCAGACAGGTTCGGTGTAACCAGGTACCTCTTTCAGAGCGAGTGTCTGGACRTCTGTCCTGAGGGCTTCCACCAGTCTGTCAGGATGCGGTGTGAGCCTTCCACCTATAATTCTACCACTGCACGGCTCCATCCTTCATGTGGTGACGGTTCAGATGCAGATTGTCTCTCCTGTGATGAGGGCTGCAAAAAATGCAAACAAAGTAAGCAAACTGTCCTCATCTCTGTCTTTTATTCCAGGACAAACTAAACATTTAGAACTAAACTAACTTCAGACACAGACGCATCGTGCACACTACACTTCTGGTTGAGGACTTTAAGGCTTGAGGAATGAGATGCACTCCTTGCAGTGAAATCATGAGGGTTTGCTGTGATAAATGCGTTGAATTGTTGTTCCCCCTCACACTTTGCTGAAGGCTCTTTATGTCACAAAACAAATGAACTCAGATTGAGCATACGTTTGAAACTGTACAGCTGCTTTCAGGGGTGAACTGCAGCAAAACAAGCTTTGTGGGTTTTCTTCACACGCTGTAAAAAGTTATTTACCCACAAAAAAGCTCTTTGCCGAAACCACATAAAAACAAAAGCACGTCTTTCACTCAGAGACAATTATTGCATACTGTGGAAAGTTGTTATTGTGTAGCGAAGGAGTCTGAGGTGGAGACAGCCTGTTATTTTGTCATTAGGCATTCTGACTGGAAAAATCTTTCCCCAGTCTCACTCTGAGTACCACCTTCCTGCCACCAGCCACAACTCAGCACTGAACCAGTCAGTCAGCAGATGAGAGATTAGAGATGATTGTCCCTGTCCTTTAACGTGATGCTACAAGTTGAAGTTTGGAGAAAACAGTGCAACATTTCATGCTGACATCTGATCTGTTTACCTGCTTATCTTTGAACTTTGTAAGCTTAAATTGTAAACTAATAGAAAAATCAGGATTCTTGGTTGTTTTGGTGAGTTTAAACTTAAATTTGAACCTGTTCTGAAACTACATTTGTATTTTCTGGTTTAGATTAGGCCTGAAAGCTTCAGCCTAAAAAACATCTTACAATTCATGGCAGTTTGTAAGAAGCTATTGAGTAAGATCGTATCACAGATGTCCGCGATAAAATGCACACATCTGTTTTTTWAACTTTTATTATCCTCATCAAATTGTTTTAGAACCTGTTTAAAGTCACAGTTTCATCTTTGGTCTGTCCTCCAAATATCCCAGTTTTTTAAACGACTGGCTTGAGGTTAGAAAATATTTGAGATGTAGATTAGTTGTGTGTAGTTACAAGAGTGGTGTCTTTTATGAAGGACAGGAGATCCTGTTACAGTCCCCCTTTCTTTTATGTGGCTTTCTGTTTCTGGGTGGTGCTGAGTCTTATCACTGTGTGATTCAACCAACAAATCAGTGTCGCATTACAGATGAGACATGAATCTAAAAGGCTAGCATTTCATTCAAGAGTTTTAAGTTGAGAAATGGAGCCAACACTGTTGTTTTCTTATTTATTTGTGCCTCTTGTCCATTCGTCTCCTTTAAAACAATAATGCTAATTCAACGTTGTGACACACTAGTAAAGTGGCTCATCATGAGAGCTTATCTCCCCTCCACCGCAGCTTATCTCGGTGCTTTCTCTGATTCATTCACTCATTACAGCTTTTGATGGTTTCTTCATTAACAGAGAGCTGAGATGTCAGTTTAACCAGCAGAAGTGATGAGTTCACCCTCATCCGTCTTCACTTTTAATGAGTCTGAGTCACTTTTAAAGTGTGATTATGTATCTCACCCCCCTAAATGTTGGCTTGATGTATAGCGTTTGATTGCACGTACACAGAGAGATGGGTGCTTCAGGATGTGCACGCCAGCTGAAATCCCTCCACCCCCCCCAGTTAATATTTATGCGGGCGCTATTTTCTCTCTCATAGACACAGCCTGGGGGCATGATTTCCGGCTCTCTTCTCCTATGCTTCTGCCCCCCCCAACCTTTCCTTTCTCCAGGTCTCTCCCTGTATGAGTAATTGCTTTCACAGGTTGTGGCTTGTTGACTGCATTGAAGTGCAAACCGGTGCAGTGCAAAGTTGTGGGTGCTGGAAGGAGACAGCAGGAGGAATRGGGATGTGGGGGTCGATGGAGGATTTTTTTTCTTGAGAGGATTAATGTCCCTTGGGAAGGTCTGCAGAAGTGTCTCTTTAAACCATCCTTTACCTCCTCTCTCTGTCTGATCCCTTTTTTCCCTTTCTTTTCCTTCTTAGTTTCTTGCCAAACTACTTTCCCCTCTCTGTCCTTGGAGATTTTCTTTGACACTGTTGAACTGGGGGATGACAGCGTGGCTCTTCCACAGTTACTGCTTGAATGGTTTTGATTGACAGCAGAGATTAATTAGTTTGAGGGGAAAACGAGCTCTTTTTTTGTGTGTGTTTACATAAATGACCTCATGTGGGCTATACATCTGAATGAGCCATTAATCTCTGTTCTATTTATAAAAACTAATTCTTGACACTGGAACTCACATTAAATGTTTTTGTGTTAAAGTCAGTTTGAGAACAAACTAACTGTAACCGTATCACTGAATTTAAAGGATTATACAAAAACTAAAAATGGTGATAAAAACCTGGAGTTTCCACTTTGATCACTGATCACACAGCTGGTGAGCTAAATTTAGCAGTTTAATCCACTGAAAGCTGAACACATTTAATCTGTGYTGTTAGAGTGCCCCCTGCTGGTGATGGAAGGCACGGCAGCAACAGTCGCTTGGTTTTCATTTTCCMTTTTCAGATGTMTTATTAATCATTTCTGTTGAAATTYTGCTCTTCATCACAGGAGGTCCAGAAGATCAGAAACAGGAAAGTGTTTGCCTCAAATGTGAAGAAGGTTATTATCAGTAAGTCATCTATCTAAGTCAGTCTGGATGTTTTATTTGTAATCCAGCTACTAATGCATACTTTGTCCTGTTTTAGTCATTTATAAATCAAAATGTCAAGCTCATTCAGAAGACAGGTGCTATGACTTTAGTTTTTAGTTTTATCTCAAAATTTAAAACTTTTATTTACAAATATTTCACCATAAAACTAGATAGAGGTCACCTTAAATAGTTTTAAATTGTTCTCTTTAAATGCTGATTCAGCAAACTTGTTTTCTCTTTCATGTTCATCTTCTTTTAGCTAACCTTTTAACACTTTTAACTTTTCACTAGCTCTTTGCTACACTTAGCTTTCAGCAATCTTTCTAAATTTCCTAAGATTTTAATTTCAGCAACTTTCAGTAAAGTCATTAAGCRCTCAGGATTGTCTTCGTTTTGACAGAAAGTGACATTTCCTTACTGATGTTTACATTTGCTGCAGGTTAGACGCTGACTGTCATCAGTCCTGCCCTGATGGGACCTACAGTGTGAAGGACGTTATGGTCTGTTCTCCTTGTGAAGACAAACACTGTGCAGTCTGTGATGAGTCCCAGTGCTACTTGTGTGACAGTGGCTACTATGTCTCTGGTAACATTTGAAACCTTCAAAACGTAGTAAATGTTACAGTATGATCTGAKAACAGCACTCTAGAGATATTTCAAACAGCTTCCACTTCCTTTTTAYTTTGCTTCACATATGTAAATAAAATGGTTTTGATTGTTGTTTTGTTGTTTGTGCAGACGGAGAGTGCGTGGATCGTTGTGAGGATGGTTTCTTTCTGGATGCAGCAGAGTGTGAGCCCTGTCACAGAGACTGTCAAACCTGCGGAGGGCCGCGGGACGATGACTGTGACTCCTGCGAAGACGGGTTCTCTCTGATGAAGGGAGAGTGCGTGGAAGGACAACAGCTCGTCGTTTGTCCTGAGAAACACTTCAGAAACAGTATGTCAGAATGTTGACCTTCTGACCTGCATTCTTATCATCTATTATGCTTCAAGTAAACAAAAAAAGAATACTGCAGAAATATAGAGCTCTTTAGTTTGTTTCCCCTTCACTTTGCCTTGTTTTCTCTTATTTCTGTTGCTCTTGTCCTTTGGTTTTGTCTTGTCATTAGGTGAGGACAAATGTGAGCCGTGTCACTCCACCTGTAGGACTTGTTCTGGTGAAAAGAAGGAAAACTGCAGCAGCTGTTTTCCTGGTAAACCTTTTATCTTTATGTGACAGAAGCAAACTGAAAAGATGTAGTCATAAATTGCTCAAACAGATATATTTCCCATCGGTGTGAGATGGCACCTGTCACGATCATCCACACTTCCTGCAGTTTTTCAGGTATCAGTGATGGGAATTGCTTTTCTCGCTTCCAGGCCGTTTTTTGACTCCTCATCAGACTTGCCTGTCTCAGTGTCCGGCTGGAACATTTGGCAACAAAACATCTGGCCAGTGTGAGGGGTGTTCAGCAGGCTGTGTAACGTGCCAGGAGGCCGAAGCCTGCCAGGGCTGCCAGGAAGGCCTTTACCTGCAAGACGACGCGTGTGTGAAAGAATGCCAGAGGTGCTTCTGCTGTTGTCTCAGTTCATGATTTGCACAAACCGTGCTCCGTTCTGACCGACACAAACACCCYTCTCTGCCTCTCTCCCAGGGGGTTTCCTCAAGGTGAGCTTTGCCACCCGTGTGCCCCGGAGTGTGCATCCTGTGAGGAAAGTTCCTCCCGCTGTTTGAGCTGCGAGAGGCCATTTCTGCTGCTGGATCACTCCTGTGTGTCCGCCTGCCCAAAGGGCTTTTATAAGAACAACACAGAATGCCATCGCTGCCCGGATCACTGCAGCGAGTGCAGCCAGGACGGCCTGTGTGAGAGTGAGTTCACTCAGTGGGGATGTGAGAAGAATTAAAGATGTTATGTCGAAATGTGATTTCATTCAGTTCTGAATCAGCTGAGGAAAAGAGGGAAATTAAGAGAATATGGAGGGGAGATATAAAGAGGACGTTTAAAAAGCAAGAAATTACCAGATTAATAATATTCTTTGTTATGCTGCTACAATGTGACAAATATCYCCGATGAGGGATAAATAAATGATTTATTCTATTCTCCAAATGAATCTTTGTTTTACTCCGTTTTGTCACAGTTTGATATTTGATTTAATTCAACTGAATTTATGGAAATATAAGCCTYCAATATAATAATTGGTTTGGGCTTTAAGATCACAATAAAATTGGCCAAGGTAACAAGAATCAGGAACACTAAAAACAAATATGTCTAAAATTGAAACAATAGTGTTTTGTGCTCAGTAATGTTTTTTTTTATTTGACTGATTGTTCTTTAAAGGGGCTCTGATTTAACAAAAAAAATTGAAGACTATTGTTTGGGATTCCTGTCTCTTAGATAAAATAAAAACTGTATTTTTTTAAACACCTGATTGATATGAGAGGGTTTATTTTAAGGAATGACAGAGTGAAAAAGAACAAGTCTGTTTGTGTCRCCACTTCTGCATTTGACTGAATTATAAGAAAAACTTTGCATACATTTTTTTGTGCRTCTCAGAGTGTACAGGGCAGTACTTCCTTCATGAGGACGAGTGCGTGGACGATTGTCCTGCAGCCTACTTTGCCAGCACGAAGCAGCACGAGTGTGTGCGTTGTCATGTTGACTGCGCCTCGTGTGACGGGTCGKGCATCAATGACTGCATCGAGTGTCGCAACCCCAAAGCTGTCCGCTACGCCGGAGAGTGCCTGCCTCGCTGTCCAAGCAACACCTACCACGACACAGGCAGAAATGAATGCGAAGGTGGGGAAAGGTGGAAGCTGATCGTCTAAAAATAATAAAAACAATGATGAATCAGGATTGTTTCCTTGCAGGGTGTGATGAGTCGTGTTTGACCTGCTCGGGTCACAAACCCTCCGACTGCCTCAGCTGTGATGCCAACAGGCGCAGGGATGCGAGTGGGCGATGTGTGTGGTCCAGTGAATGCTCTGTGGGCTCGTACGTGGACCAGAACGGCGAGTGCCAGCAGTGCCACCCGCTCTGCCGCCACTGCAACGGGCCCAACAGAGACCAGTGCCTCAGCTGTGAGGAGCACCACTTCCTGTTGAGTGAGTTATCAACGTGTTGGAGGCCAGAGAACTCATTTAACTCTCCCACGCTTCAAGTCTAAATGACCTCTGAGCACCTCGGTGTTAAAACTGATGTCTTCAGGGGTTAAACGTCTGGAATCTGTGTTCTGCAGACAGCACCTGTGTGGAAACGTGTCCCATGGGTTACTACATGGAGGTCAAAGGTGAGCGCGCGTGTCGACGCTGCTACTACAGCTGTGAGWCTTGCGATGGTCCACACAGCCAGCAGTGCATCACCTGCAAACCGGGGTATTTTAAGCACGGCAGCAGCTGTGTTGAGACCTGTCCAGAGAGGTTAGACCGCACACATCTGATGAAGAAGCTTCATTAATGGCGTCTTATTGGCTAAACAGATGTTCCATCYGCTTTACAGTCATTTTGGCAACGGGACCTCTAAGGTTTGTGAGCGATGTGACCCCTCCTGCACCAAGTGCTTCGGTCATGGAAACACCAAGTGTCTGAGCTGCCGGCATGACTACCTGTACATGAAACAATGGAGGCAATGCCTGAAGAGCTGCCCTTCTGGATACTACAAAGACAAATGGTCCACAAACTGCCTCAAGTGTGACCCGACCTGCAAGACCTGCAGCGGTACGAACAGAATTTACTCTTTATTAAAAGTCAGCATTCATTCATCTTAAAGAAACACTCCTTGGTAGACTTAATGTATGATCTTTTTTGACATTTTTATTTTAGTGCTGACTCAAATGATGTTGTATTCCTCTTCTTTCAGATGGGTCTGCTTTGGCTTGTTTGTCCTGTTACGACAACTTTRTCTTAAAGAGTAGCTACTGTCTGAACCCCTGTTTTATTGGCTTCTATCCATCCTCACAGGTGACAGAAAGCGTCTGTGTACAATGAAATGTTGCTTTAAATTGTTAGAGATAAAATATTGCCAGGTTTTGAGCTATCCTTTGTTCCWAGCAGCCAGGCTATCTTGTAGTCTATCAAAGTGGTCTTGATCAATAATTCGTCAAKCTTTCTGAAGGCCTTTTAAAAGATTTATTTTATTTTATTGTTCAGTACCCGACCACTTTTATAAGGATGTGGTTGTTAAACTTGATCTATAAGTATTCAGAGAAAAAAAGCTCCTGAACTCAAGTGGTGAACCATTGTGCTGACACATAAACAACTCGCTACAATAGAATTACTATTTTTGCATGTCACATAATTTGTACCAATACGTCTTGCTGAATCTATTTTAAAAAGACCATATATAACACAGTTTGACACTAAAAGTATTAGCAACAAAGTGATWCCTTAGCTGAGAACATCCAGATGATCAGCAGAAGGATGAAGCAGGTCTTTGGAAAGAATTAAGGGAGGAGTTTAGCAAATATGTGACTTTCTGGATACGGATCTGTTTTTAGGCTCATCTCTTCCCTCCAGTTGTCCACTTTCTCATTTTTACACAAAAAAGCTGTCATAGTCAGGCACATGAACTGGACAGAGAATAAGTGCAAAAGAAACTAAASTCCTGAGAAATATTTCAAAAGATGTCCAGAAAGCTCAGATTTATTCATCTAGCCCACTTTCACAGATTGCAAGGCAAACTGTTTCTTTTGAAATAAAATGTAAAGTAATAATACAATGTTTTCCTGCTTCAGGACATTGGAAACCCAAGGTGCAGGGCTTGTGATCGGTCGTGCGAAGGCTGCCGAGGCCCCAGCATGTGGGAGTGCACCTTGTGTCCTCCGAGCAAGATCTTATTAGAGGACGGCCGCTGCTTGAGCTGCTGTGGAAAAGAGTCGTGGTACAACAATGAACCGATTCCCAGGGAGTGCTGTGACTGCGAGGCATCCCGAGGTGAACAAGGACACTCCAACACTCACTTCTACCAACAATACCTCTTTTTTTATTCATGAATACAGGATCTGTTCACACATCCCCCACCAGATTTGATACAGCGTTCACTGTGTCTGATGCATCTTTTCACTGTAACCGTTTCCCTCCTCCTTAGATTAAGTTGGTTTCTCACAGACAAGTCTTCCTGCCAAACAGGTGTTTACACTATCTGATACAAAAACTCCCCAGATGTCCTTGGCTTGTTTTCAATAGATAAGACACCAGTTCATCTGAACTGGAAACTTGTGAAACCTCCTGAGGAATTCCTCGGAAACAATATCGTATTGTGTCTTGCAGGTTACAAMAGAAAAAAAAGTGTGAGATCTACAACCAAACTGCTGAATCACTAAAAGAGTGTTGTACTGAAACACCCACACTTCACCTCCYGATGTTTTCTCTTAGGCTTTAAAATAATCCATCATCTTTGCCTGCTTATTTCTGGTCAGGGTGGAAGGTTGGCAGTCACTGGCTGTTGGAGTACTTCCTGTATTGGTCATCAATTCATCACAGAATCACGTAAAGACTAACGAGAGAGAGAGAGAGAGAGAGAGAGAGAGAGAGAG